TTTTAAAACCATCGTTCAGTTCCCTAATGTTTGAAAATACGTCAAATTCTTTTTTAGCTACACAAATATTTTTTATTATCTACGGTAAATTATTGTGTCGTCTAAGTCTCATTAATATCGAAATAAATTGACCTTTTTCTTTTATCGTTCGCATACTTTAGTTTCATAGAGCTTTTCTGAAGCTTTTCTTTTAATTTGTGTGTCTAATATAGACAGGTTTCACCTCTTTTCTTCTGCGCAAGAATTTGAATCTTAGATTGTGCAGAATATTATTATTATTATTATTATCCCAAAGGGGCAATTTGCCCAGAAGGACTGTTAATTATGGGCATTTTGCACTGAGTCATTATAAACGACGTTTCACTTTTGAAATTGTTGCCACCAAATAGTAGAACCCTGCATTATATTTAAATAATGAAGAAACTGCATGAATATATATACGTTTCTCGCACTGTGAAAAAACAACGGTACCTATAGACATCAAGTTTTGAATAACGTAGTCCTCCCCTCGAATATGAGCATCTGCAAGCCCAAACTTGCAATTTGTTTTATTATCTATTTCATATTTTGTAAAGCATTTGTGAGTTTTTGATTAAGAAGCTCATCGATTTCAAAGCGAGCAATGGCAACACTCTACGGGGAAAAAAAATTATCTCCAGCGCGCGTGATTGTGTAGTGGAACTTCTAGAGATATGCTCTTTTTTTAATTATTATGCGATATTGCCGTTGAATTGAATTTTATGGTTTAAGTACGAAGAAGATATTTAATAAATAAATATAACACACAAAATGTTAAAAAAATGCCCCTTTGGACGTAATTTAAAATATGAAACCTTTTAGATTTTTATTTATTTATTATTATTATTACAGAAACAGGAAACGTGAAAAGTCACCCGTTCCTTCGCCGAGCTTCAAACGAGTTGGACATGTTTACCGTTTACACTATAACAGCATGTGATAATTCCTTATTCTGAGGTACTAATTCTTTACAGAATATAATACTTTAGCTTCCTCATATCATTTTAAAATGGCCATATTGGGAAACGTTAATTTTTATAAATACGGTTTTAAAATTATAGCCTATACTACAAACATATAGACTATATTTTGTGAATATATTTTCAGGCACACTTTTCCAATGAATAAATACTTTTAAAATAATAAACATTTAAAAAATAAATTCCTCTAGAAGTTAGAAAATATGCACCAAGTCCACAAAACGCACTATTGAGGCCTCTATTTTCGCAACCGTTTTTCCTATACATTTTCAAGTCACAAAATTGTTTTAAATGATGAAAATATTCATGTTCATGCTTTAGACAGTAGTACCCTATGTAATTATTTTTTATGTTGTCGCGCGTAGCCGCCGAAAGTTAATTTTCACGGATGCGTTTAAGTTTATTTTCTGTGTTCCTCTCGAAGCTTATTTTCTGTGTTCCTGTGTGAGCGTGCCGATTTATCGTGAATTTGTTTTCGTCGAAAGTTATTGCCCTTTCACTGTTGGTTTGGAATAAATAAGTAAATCTTTTATTTTTCCACGAGCATGAGGACTGCTACAGGCATGTTCAACCTCTTTGTATGATTTACGCTTTTGAACACACATTACTAATGCAACAGTATGGTATACCATCTGAAAGATTGTAGGTAGGGCAGTAAATTTACTAGCTAGTACTTTTTGCCATAGTGTTGGAGCTGTATTGAAAACATTTTCTACATTAAGTTAAGAAGTTTGTAGCCGGGATAACGTGTCTAGGATGAATACTTGTAAATATAAATCTAATAGCCTTCTTTTCTAAATATTCATTTAAAAAAGATTAAAATACTATAGTTAGTCATACAGTTATAAGAAAAGGACTTTCTTTAAAAACTGTGATGAATTCATTAGACTCCTCTCTTAGCCAGTATATTACTACGATCAAAACGTAAGGTTTTAATACTCTGGAAAAAGCCGCGCTGCTTCTAATGTATAAAACCATGAAACTATTTGGCTTCATGGGAAAAAGCAATGGCAGCATGAAAAGGCAAAACAATCGGAAAAAACATTTTGCAGGAATAGTTCTGAGTCTTCATGGGAAAATAAATATTTATAAAGTCTTGCAGTTACATTTAATATTACGAGTGGTATTTGTCTGAAGAAGAATGAAAACGTAAAAATAAAATGCATGTCTTGCTAGTACATTTATAGCTAAATCTATGAAGAAATAGATGAAAATGCTTTGTTTACATTGGAAAACTTGTCAAATAGCAGCCTTAGTCCAAATGTTATATGCAGCATACCACGTAGAAAAAGGGGTGGGGACTAACTTGCATTTTACAAAGTACAAATTAATACAGCATGTCACTCAAAAGACAACTTTTAAAGTGCACAATTTCTGAATTTAAAATTTAATTTTTCTTTTTTTAATACAAAAGTTTTTTTAATTGATTTTTCTATTTTATTTCCCGTAATGTCTTCTTAAGTTAAGCCAATGATACACAAATCATGTTCAAAGAAACTCTGGGGCTCCCTGAAAATCCTTTAAGCATTCCGCAAGTCAAAAATTTGAAAGAGCTATTAAATACCATGTGGATCACCAAGCAAACCTCTAAAATAATTAATTAAATAATATTTTAATTTGTTTGTGTTGTTAGCTAACATAATATACAGTAGATATGTTTCTAGAAATAAATTTATAATGAAATAAGGACTTTCCTTTTCTTTTACCCCATAAAGTATTAGGTTCATGCAACATAGATATATTTTAATGTTTTTTTAACATATATTTTACAAAGGAACATATATTGATAGAGGTCATATACATGTATATATATAATTTTAGTTTTAAGAATTCTAATAAGAAGTTATAGTTTAGTGTTTTCGAATTTTGAAGACAGTGAGGTTGACTGCTAGAAAATGATCTACGATTAACAATAAGTTTTTTGCTACAGGTGTGCAAATAATAATTTTTGAATCTTTAGGTAGCTACTTTTGTATCCTCGCTACCGGTCTATGGTCAGATTTAGCTACCTATGTTGATTTCTTAAAAACGAAATAGATCAGCGAAGAATTAGAATAAAAAATGCGTAAGAATTCTGAGAAACTAGGACCACAGCTCGTTCGGATATTTAAAATACCCGGATAATTAATTATGCTTTTTCTACATGCCAAATACATATTTGCAGTAACGAAAATGAAGTTAATTAATTTTTTCATTTATAGTATTTTAATTCAATAATGACTATGTACTTTGAAAAACAAAATATTTTTATTTTGATAAAACAAAACAGAAAACACAGTTTTTAGAAAGCTTAATAAAAAAAATTTCTAATATCCTTAAATACGTAGCCAATTTCTATTTATTTAAATTAAAACAATTAAATAAATTTTTTTGCAGGTCTTGAGACTAAACACACTTGTTTTCATTTTAATGCACTAAATAATAAAAGATATTATTTACTATTTAAGACAAAGCTCGTAAATTATTTCTATTTAACTAAAATACATTTAGGCCTTTTTAATTGACTTAAAATAATAAAATAAACAATATAATAAACATAACTTAAATTTTTGCGATTAAAATATGTTATTATAGTTTGCAATAATTTTTTTAATAAAAAAACTAAAAATCTTTTTGATGTATTTATTCATATAGAGCAGAGTTTCTTAACCCCCCATAGGGGTCGCGGGACCTCCAGCAGGGGGTTGCCAAAAATTCTAGCAGTTTTGATATTTCATTAACATATCATAATAATTTTACAGTTACCAAATAGTTTTACACACTGTATCTGAAAACAGATAAAGATAAGAAATACAGACAAAGAAAAAAGGAAAGCGTTTCGACGCATTATTTTTATAATATAAACGTTCATTTTACTTGCTTTGCACGTGACGCTGCCGTTTCGTCTGTTACTTATTTAAAATGTGATAAAGATTGTGCCGTTAAAGACAAACACGTGTTTTTATTTCCGTCAAACAAAACACACAACGCATTTTTGGTTGTTTGCAGGAAAACTGTTTAAATGAATTTATTATTTAATTTCTTGCACTGATAGCTGGTTCTTTAGAAAACCTAAAATAAAAGAAAATAATAAAACCTAAAATAAAGCAATGAGGTTAATATAAATTTACGTATACCCTAAATATCAACTAACAAGCTTGTTTTTATCTTTATTATACTAAAATAAAGCAAAGAAATTATTTGTCTTTGCGGTGACCCGAAATGCATACTATATTTCTGTTCAATTAAAACTGAATTTTCGATATCACTCGTACATTTTAATTTCTGCATTTAGAATTCGTGATAAATTTAATCGCAATGAAAATTTCTTTACTATTTTTTTTTCCAATGTCGGCCCCTTTAGCCGACTTCGGCTCGTCCACTACTAATGCCAGAAGTGGTGATCATTTTATTATAGGTCATCTAATAGGTGAGCCATCTTTGTCTCCTAGGAAGGGACGGACAGTTAACAACCATGCCTTCTCCGGGATTCGAACCCAGGTATTTGTCATCGCAGTCGGATGCCTTAACCACTGTACCGTCTGGGCGGCAAGTATAATGTGATATCATGTTTTCATGCTATTTAAATCAAAGGAAAAGTTAATTAAAAAGAAGCTCAGTTTTGTTTGACCTAAAAAGACTACGTGATTTTGACAAATTCCGAATATCTATCTGGCTTTTAGACAGTTGGAATTCTAATGCACGTGACCACTCATTTATTTATTTATTAATTTTTTTTTTTAGTGATTTATGAAGTTTTACCAGCTGAAGTTGTTTGTAATTAAGTTGTAAATTATCTCTGATGATCCCGTCTTTCATTACTTTTTTCGGCCTCGTAAATCTGATACGACAATTTACGGTCGCAAATCTACGACGTAAGCATCACCGTCGATAAATTGATAAGGTCACATTCGGTGGCACCTCTTGGCGCCGAAGATCTCATCCCGGTCGCCATGGCGGGAACGAGTCTGGCGGTATTACAACCCTACTCACCAAAAACCTTCTCTTCTGCCATCGTAGGTAGGTAGCGAAAGCTAGCAGAAGTATCAAATCAACAACAACAACGCGGTATGAAAAGGGGAAGATGCAGATGACGCGCTTACGGGATCCTATAACCTCCCTTTCTCCCGCTTGCCAACTCAGGTGAGTTCCCTGCTCGATGTTTTTTTTCCGTCTGTCCGTCCCAATTTCTGAGTGTCAGTTCGCCTTCTCTGACGTAAGGGACGTCAACATCTTCTTGGGACAGTGGCCGACTGGGAGTGTGTTGATGTGACCTTTTTAATCCGGCGGCTTTACGAAATATTTGCAATTGGGCTTTACTGTGCGGATGTTCGTGAGAAGCGATTATGCAGTCATTGGTATTTTGAAGGCGTTAACGGAATTAAATGCGGATTTTCATGAAAGCTTCATCCAGCGGTAATGTCATTTAACAATAAATGGAAATCTTCATTTCGCTTTCCTGGAGGGAGAAGTTGCTATTAGAAGGTGTTTATGGGTTATCATCCAAGATTTAAATTATGTTGTTAGTATAAATTTTACTTGTACTTTTCAAATTAATTGGTAGTATTTTATCGTGGATTTTTTACTTTTGAAAATGTCAATCGTAATTAAATTATATATACGTATGTACATAACTAAAATTTAAACGTTTGTTGGATGAAAACTAAGCTATGTAAAAGAATTTTAAGGGGGGGAAAGAAATTAGAAATAGGTCATAATTCATCAAAAACAAATTAAGATAAAATTTAAGTTCTATCGTGTCAGTTTGCCCATTCAATTTTAGCACAACAGGTTGGAGAAAAATAGCCCTGAGAAATGCAATACTGCATATTGGGCAACAGAATACAATGTTCAGTTGTGAAAATAGTGTATGCAAAATGTTTTCTAGGAATTGTATAAGTATTTTTTATAAATTTTAATTGAAGTTTTAGCTATATAAATATATTTTGTATTTTATAAATTTAAAAAGTTGTATGAAAGTATAAATTTATATACATAGCAAAATGTGGCATATATATAAAAGATGTTCACTTTTTATAGACTTTCATAAAGAACATAAAATAAATACCACTAATTCAATAAAACGAAAATGCGATGTATGTACCGTTTTTAATCCTATATTTCTCCGTTTCGCTTGCTTTTACCCCTAGGTTTTCAGTATATGATCTAGAAACGTCTGATTTAAAGTAACTGTGTAAAACGTATGCACAAATAGGAAAACATTTGGTGAAAGTAGAAGAGTAGTATTGAAACTGGGAAGTCTTTTGAAGCACATAATATGATAATATGAGCGTGTCTTTATACATGCTTTTAATATGCATTTTTCATTATTTAATCCTCCTCATAAATAGCATGTACAGAATACACATACATGAGGTATAAACATTAGAAATAGTATATACAATGTATTTTTTCCTTCCCGATTTTCAAGCTGTAAAATTGGTATGAAAAGAGGAGAAAGGCAAGTAAATATAGTATTCATGCACGTCAATAAGAATTTAAATCGTTACCATTTTCTTCTGTTACATTCGAAGTGAAGTAACTTTCTTAAGTAGTAAGTTTCATAAAAGTTTGATAACTAGTAGTAGTCAATTTCATTAGCTTCGAAGTGCTAATGAAATTGACTAATGAAGTGTTAGAAAATCATAACATTTCATCACGGAATTATAATCCTAACATTTTATCGTACTCATTTTTATTACATTTTCAACTTAAAATTTGTTTTTCTGATAGTGAGGAAGACAGCTGATAAAGTTTCGATTTTATTTCCCTGGTATGAAACAGTAGAAAAGTTTATGGTGTAATGCTACTGTTAATTTCATTTTGGGAATTAAATCATGTTTTTCAGTGTAAACCTATTTCATTATAAAATTTTACCATAAGAGAAATTTTTGTTATGAATGTGAATTTTATTTTTCGAGAATTTTTTCTCAAACTGGAGTATTTTTTAAAATAAAATTCAAAGAACTTTAAAAATTCGCCATTGAAATAGTGCTAAATCAAATTAAATTGTATGAAAAGAAATCTTATTTTTATATAGTTCGATAGAAAACATGTATAAACAAAATGCGTATGTTTACAAAGTTACACATTTTGATTATAAGTAGACTGACTCTAACAGTGCATGCTAAGAACTTTCAAACTTAACAAAAAGCAATATTTTCTCGCTATATGGTATGTTATGATTCTTAAATTATTCAGCGTATTTTTGTAAATGATCATTTAATAGCGATAAGTATTAACGTTATTTAACTAAAAGCACCGGTAAGAAGGTATATGCGTATAATGCTATATAGTTGAAAACTGGTATATATACTAATCTAAGTGTAATGTTTGTGCAGTTATTTACCAGTGAAATTTATAATAAAGTTACATAAAATTTAAACTAAAGGAAGCTTTCCTTTTCACTTTACTTTAGTTTTTTTGTAAGTGATTTTTGAAATAAATAAATAATAATAATAAAACAGATTTTATATTACGTCCAAAGGGACTTTTTTAACGTTTTGTGCCTTACCTTTATTTATCAAATATGTTCTTCGCAACTAAACCATAAAATTCAACTCAACAGCAATATGGCAAAATAATTTCAAAAAAGTATATCTTTAGAATTTCCGATACACAGTCTCGCGCTCTGTAGATAAATTCTTTTTTCGTACGGTGTTGTAATTACTTGCTGGAAATCGTTGATTTTCTTAATCAAAAATTCATAAATGCTTTACAAAATATGAAATACATAATAAAAAAATTCCAAATTTGGTCTTCAAGATGCCCATATTCGGGGGGAGACGTACGTTATTCAAAATTTGATAGCTCTAGGTACCGTTGTTTTATCACAATGCGAGAAATATACATACATATTCTTCATTGTTTAATTTATTTAAATATAATACAGGGAGATAATATTTGGTGGCAACAATTTGAAAAGTGATTCAGACTTTTAAAGTTTTCGACGCAAAATGCCAAAATGAAATTAATAGCCCTTCTGGGCTAACGTGCTTTGGCTAATAATCGTAAGTGATTTATTTTTTATCTTAAAAATATATATTTGAAATAAATAATCGTTAGTGTATAAGAATTATATACCTAAAATCGTAAGTGATTTTTAAAATAAAAATTGACTTCCAAGTTCACCGCTAAATAGATAGATAAGTAATTTTCTCTTTATAAATAATCGATTTTTCTTTCAACGAAATTTCATAGGCAGCATAACATGGGTTTCACTCTTAATGTCTTATTTGTTTCACTAACAGAATACAAGGAGAGTTACTGTGCTAGGAGAGAATTCAGGGAAACTACAGAAACTCTCATAAGGCCACCTCGTTCGGTAGGCCTCGAATCTGCATCGAACTTCTTCCATTTTAGCCACAGCTGGGAGTTAATTCTGCTGTCATTTCCTACTTATAAAGATAACTATTGCGTAGGATATTTTATTAATAACATAGAAATCTAGTAAGTAAAACAGAAAGATCATTTTTCTCACTTTGAACATTTACGGAAAAGTGCTTAAAGGACAAATTAAGAAACAAATGATTTTTAACCTCATTAATTTATTTGTTGTGATTAGTTATTGAATGTTAATTTACAGTGTATGTGTATTTAATATTATTTCAAATGTTGAAATTTTATTATACAAGCAATCGACTAATTTAACTGCATTTGTTTCAATGCACTGCAATACATTGTTACACAGATGCATGCGCAAAAGTATGCAAATTCCATCTAACAAGTTTGATTTCTTTTTTTAAGTAGTTTGTAAAGAAAATTACCGATTTTGTCTTTCTTTTAAATTTAAAAAAAAAAAAAAAAAAAAAAAAAAAAAAAACTAAAATGTTTCAGATTTTAAATTAACGTCCAAAGGGGCGTTTTTAACATTTTGTGTGTACCTTTCTTTATTAATATCATGTTCCTCGCACTTAAACCATAAGATCCAGTGCAACAGCAATATCGCAAAATAGTTTTAAAACGAGCATATCTTAGAATTTCCGATACAGAGACTCACGCGCTGGAGATAAAAAATGTTTTTTCTGCACAACGTTGCCATTGCTCGCTTTGAAATCCTTGAGTTTTTTGTTAATCAAAAATTCGTCAAAAGTTTTAAAAAATAGGAAATCGATCATAAAACAAATTTCAAATTTCAAATTTGGTCTTCCACATGCTCATATTCGTTGGAGGATTACGTTATTCAAAATTCGATGACTCTGTGTACCGTTGTTTTATCACAATACGAGAAATATACATACATTTATGCAGATTTTCATTATTTAATTTCTTCAAATATAATGCAGGACTCTAACATTTTGTGGCAACAGTTTGAAAAGTGAACCGACATTTATGAGTCCGACGCAAAATGCCAAAACGAAACTAATAGTCCTTCGGGATTCAAATCCCTTTGGACTAAAAAAAAAGATTTTTGGTTTTATGTGATTACGGCAAAACCTCGAGGGATATCTGTTTAAGGGGAGGAATGCTTTCGTGCAGGATTTTCTAAGGGAAACTGGTCTTGTATACGCGTTTCACATGGGGAAAACAACGAAAACGCCCATGCAAGCCAGCCTGTTCGCGAGATTCGAAACTCGAACCGAACTACCAGTGTTCAGCGAATTTACCTCTCTGCCGCTGGTGGGCCTAAAACGTTTGTTTAGATTTTTTATTGATGACAATGCAAACGTTTTCAATTTCCTATCTAAATAACTTTTCAATTCTAGACTAACTTTATTCTATCTGCAATAATATTTAAATGCAAAGTTTGGAAAGGCATGAATATTAACTATTCGTTCTATATAGTAATCTTAAAAAGTTCTACTGTAGAAGAAAAGCATGATTAACATCAGTTCGAAATTAGTGTTTCTAATCACCTTGTTCTAATAACGGTATGTTATCAGACAGTTATTTTACACTAGTTTGGAAAATTTAGGCATTTTCTTCAATAAAGTTTTACTCTTACCCCAAAATGCGGTATTCCAGAAGGGCTATTAGGTTCGTATTGGCATTTTACGTTGATTCACCTTCTAAGTTTATTCACTTTTCAAACTGTTGCCACCTTACAGCCCTGTATAATATTTAAAGAAATTAAATAATGAAGAATCTGCATAAATGTATGTATGTTTCTCGCATTGTGATAAAACAACGGTACCTATTCGGTA